GCCTGATAATAATACAATACAAAACAATTGATTTATATAGCGCTTTCACAACAGCTGCAGCTGTAACAAAGCGCTTAACAAAACAGTTAACATAAAGTAAAATAATAAACACAACACAACATACAATAATAATAATAATAATAATAATAATAAAGGCTACATCGCAACAGCTCTGATCGCAAGCTGCCATTGCAGACTGCTGAGCGCTAACAACTTCCGGTGATGCAGTTCACGTGCCATCATACGATAACGTGACCTGCTTTATTTTATTTTGTTTTTTAAATACTTTTTGTGAAAGTGAGACAGATAGGATGATTGGGTTCAGTGTGCATTAACACAAAAAGTATATTACTAACATGCACAGAGATACTTTTTTTTTTCCTCTCCACCCCTCGCGATTGACTTGGGACCAGTCCGTGAGCTACCTGTTGATCGCGATCAACAAAATGGGCACCACTGATTTAGAGGTTTCAATTAACATATGCATGATTTTATAATGTGGGAAAGAACCGCAGGACCAGGACAAAAGCTTCACCAGCACCGAGAAAATGCCACACAGGGAGGTCAAAGCACAGAACCCATGACTTCTGAACTGTGAGGTGCTAGCCCAGTGGTGTCAAACATATGGCCTGCGGGCCGGAACCGGCCCCCGAGGAGATTCGATCAGGCCCGCAGGATAATTTAAAAATGAAAAATGCATAAAAGACAAGTTATGAATATTCTTAATAAGATGCAATTCATGGATTATGCGCTGTTTTCTCTTTAGTTTGTAAAGTGTAGGCAGGGATTAAATTTAGATTTTATATGCCCATGTGTAAATCATTTAAAAATTCCTTTCTTTATAAATCTAATTTAATCTTAAAATGCATTACTATATTTTTCAATACCAATTACTTGTTAAAGTTTTGTGCCTTTGTAAAATCAGTGGGATCAGTTGCAATACATATATGTGAATGATAAAAGTAAATTGCACATTTGTCGAAGGAAATCTAAGGTGCTTCATGAAATGTTTTGTAAAAGACATGTTCATTAAATTTCAACATTTTCCTTATGTTCTTGTCCTTCACTATACCAAAACAAAGGAAAGACATGCTATTTTGGTTATTTATAGCAGAGTATGGTGTAATTTTAATGGTCCGGCCCACTTGATATCTACCGAGGCCGTATGCAGCCCACATTGTGAAATGAGTTTGACACCCCTGTGCTAATCAGTCAACCACCACAGCACCAGTCCACTATATTCTTCCTGAATTGCTTTTTTTGTCATAAAAAGGTGTGGATATTGTTTAGAAATCTATTTTTTTTTAAACAGTTGATGGTTTTGGATTAATTTTGTAGAACAGGGCGTACATTGTGTCCCTCCGATCCCCCTTGTCTTTAAAGGTAGAATTTACAGTTTAAATGGAGCTGCTTTCAGGAAGCAGTTCCATGAAATCCTCAATGAATGAAAACATCCACCATCCATCCATTCATTTATCTGATACGCTTATCCTCACGCGGGTGGCAGGCATGCTGGAGCCTCTCCCAGCTGTCTTCGGGACACACTGAACTGGTTGCCAGCCATTCGCAGGACACATTTAGACAACTAACCATTCACGCTCACAAACAGACCTAAGGACAATATTGGATTGGATTGGATTGGATTGGATACAACTAGAGTGGTCAATTAACCTACCGTGGATGTTTTTGGAATGAGGGAAGAAACTGGAATGCAAACATGCTCCACACAGGTAAGGCCGTGGCCCGGAATCGAACCCATGACATCTGCACTGTGAGGTGGACGTGCTAAGCAGTCGACCACCATGTCAACCTCAATGAAAACATGTTCCCAATATTTTTGTGCATACAACTTTCCATACAAATACCTTTTATAACAACAAATATGTTGAGAACCTCTTTGACGTTTTGTAAATTGTCTTGTGAATTACTTTATGGGGGAGATAAGTTTTCAAAAAGTGATCTGCTTGAAGAGGGACCGAAATGTAATTCAAATAGTCAGTTTTTTTAGCTCAGTTATGGTACAATATAAATTGGTTTTCGTCATCACGCTGCCATCAAGTGGGTGCCTGTACACACTACAATTGATTCAAATGCATGGTTTTTAAACGTGCTTATTTCAACATCTCAACATCTCAACATCATGTGTGTGTGTGTGTGTGTGTGTGTATATATATGGGCAGCCCGGTAAAGCCGTTCGGAAGATGAATGAATGAATGAATGAATGAATACACACACACACACACACACACACACACCCACCCAATTCCAATGAAGTTGGAGCATTGTCTTAAATATAAATAAAACAGAATACAATGATTAGAAAATCATGTTCAATATTTTATGTTCAAACCGATAAATTTGATTGTTTTTCGCAAACAATCATTTAACTTTAAAATGCTATGGTGCAACACGCTGCAAAAAAGCTGGGATAGCTGGCAAAGAGGACTAAAAAAGTGCAGGAACGTTCATCAAACACCTGTTTGGAACATCCTACAGGTGAACAGTCTAACTGGGAACAGGTGGGTTAAAAAAAAAAGGCCTATCGATGATTTAACAAGAGCTTCTCCCCAGGAAGAAAAGAAAGGGGCATGAAACAGACAATACCTGAGACCTACTTGAAATCTGGCTGGCAAAAGGTGATTTCCAAGCACCAAGCCCACTCTGCCCAGTATGCGGCGAGCGGCTCTCCATTGAGTCAACGAAGCCATCAAAACTGATTTGCAAACAACTGCCCTAAAAGTATCATGTCTGGTGGCTAACCGTATTGGTTGGAGTACACAACTGTGGATTTGCATTTACTGTATAGTTGAAACAGAAAGCATTGCATGGGGTTTGAAAAAGCAAAAAAATAGAAACATGTTTTTCCTTGGTCATCATCTTGAACAAAACCGTATTCAACAATCTCACCACAGGATCATCACAGTCATCACAACAAGAGCAACCATGGATTGACACAGCTCACATGCAATTCTGAACCCAGACAAGACTGCGGGATCCGCTCACCAGTTGAACTTTCTTGTTTGTGCCTGTGAATTGAGGGGAAATACTTAGATGTCAGCATGTAGCGCCTAAGGAAGTTAACAACATGTGGTTTGTTTTCCTTTTCGGGTGGTTGTGTGTTGTCTGTCAGTGGTGTGCTGCTGTGTTTAAAAACAAAACAAAATAATTGGGATCTGATTTTTTTTTTAAAAAAACATTCAGAAGCAGTTTCACTGAATGGAGAGGATCAGATTTTTTTTTGCTTTGGGTCACGCATAAAAAAACATTCAGAAGCAGTTTCACTGAATGGAGATAATACCAATGACTGTTGTGTTGCCATTTCTATATGGAAGCAAATTTGCCTATATTACAGAATTGCAGTTCACTTTTGTCACCAACATTTTGTCGAAACAAAATCATTTCATTTGAAGCCGTCATCATACCCTTTTACAAGATATTGTATTTGTGACATATTTTTCTGTATTAGGTGAACCTTGTTTGTTACTCAGGCACCTGAATTATAATTTTTTTTCAATACCACTGAATAAATCATATAATTATGCCTACATTTTCCGTCTGTAATAATATCAATGAAATCAATCATCTCTACAGAACTGTTATTGAAATTTTAAGCATTACATTTTCCAATAAACACAAAAGAGATTCTCTTTTTAGAATTAAGAAAATAGTGCTACGCAGGAAATATTTTTGGAATGCTTAATTTAGAAACATTAGTTGGAGTAAAGCGTGGCTTGTTCCTTTTAAACTCCTCATTACAAATAAAGTTAGAGATTACATTTAAAAGTATTACTCACAATACCCAACTCACACGTACAGTTCACGTTGAAGCATTCTTTTTGTACAGCTGAACTTGACAGTGTGGCACATTTCTTTTTTGACTACCCCTTTAGCTGCATTTTGGAAAGATTTGGAAAACTATATACATTGAATCTAAAGAAAAATATTGTGTCCTATTGTTAATTTTTACGTTTTCACATCCATAAATGTAAATTTTTGAATTCCACTCCATTATTTAAACTATTTTTGTTTGGGGTAGAATTATTTTAAGTCTCTTGATCTAATCACAAATGAAAATGTGGATCAATAATTGCTATACATTCAGAAATGTTTAAAGAGTAACTCACATTACATTTACTTTACATATCATTTATTTTTGTTATACTATTATGTATGTATGTATCTATATAAAATATGTTCATTGGATTGCCTGATGTACAGTATTGAATATATTTTGCTTATGAAAAAAAGTACCTTAGACATGGCACGTCAAGGTCAGCAGGGGACGCTGTCTTACTGTGCAACTTCTCCAGTAACGTTGTTTTTCGCAGACTCGCACAACTGATGCAAATAGACACTGGTTAGAACAGTCATATAATTTTAAATTCATCCTTTTTAATGGTTATAACAAGACAAGAGACAACAATTCATTGCTGGGAGGTATTTCTTCACATTTCTTAGAGAATTAAATTAAATTAAACACATAATGACTTCTTAGATAGATTTCCCAATACACTCTCTACCAATAATCTATTTTTTTGTAAAGAACAAGGTTCAACTGACAATATATATATACACTGTATATGCATTTTGTTCATTGTTGTGTTTCTGTGGCTATTGCTCACGTGGCAGAAAAGTTCATGTCTGTTAACAAGTGATTGTTGACGTGTTCAAATAGTTTGAAAAAATGGAGAACGAGTGCGAGTGGTTTTGCTTTTATGAGAGCTACGTGTGCTGTTGTCAACTGACTGTTGCAATAAAACTCAGGAAAAAAATACAAATTCAGTTCCCACTCCGCGACTGTGTGAAACTGAATCAATTTCCGTCCTAGTGTAGTGTGCAGTCATTTCCCTGCGTCATGGCTGTGAACTACCACGCCACCCAGCACACGAAGCGATAGCTTGAAAAATGCTAGCTGTTTGCTTGTTGTCACAGCAACCGACTGCGCGTCATGACCTCTGTAGGTCACATGCTCAACTCCACATCCAATCACGTTCGTCAATTTATGTGACGTTGCAGATTCAAAGTTGGCGACGAAGTTTCTGTCCGTCGTCCGGAGTCTGGTCGTTATGTTAATCGGCTAAAAGTTATTTATTTCAATGTTTTTGGACCAATAAAGATTATATCCATCTCGTAGCATGGAGGGAAGAGTTATCGGGCCAGGTCCGTACAGGGCGACAAAGCTGGTGAGTAATGTTTACAAATCTAAACAAAAGAGACAGTTTGCGTGTTAAGTTAGTAGGACGAACTACGAATATTAAACAACCAGATAACGCAGTCTCTCCCTAAATGTAATTTATATGCATTTTTAGTTGCATTAGTAGTGAAGGTAAGGTAGTTTCATTTCCAAAAAAAGAGTGGACTCTCGGCCCAGTCTCAAAATACAGTACTGAAATGATACTCAAATATGCCATACATTATAACTCTAATAATTTAAAAGTAGGGCTGCACAATATTGAAAAAATATGCATATGCGACATTTGAATATCAACATTATTCAGATATGAACCCGCAGAAAAAACATCTTTACGATCTAATTAAAGAAAAAAAAATAATGCGGAAAAATATTAACATATTCTTATCACTTAAGTTCCTTAGTGTTGGTAATGCCTATTGATACTTTTCCCTTGGCGATGCATCTGATTGATCAAAGTTATCTTAAAGCATACAATTCCGTATGAATTCATTGCATCTTTTTACATGCTGCTCTACATTTATCAAAGTAACATTTGTTCAATATATTGGGCAGTCCTTATTTAAATTATGCCTCCTCTGTATGGGGAGAAAATAAAACAAACAAAAAAAAGTAAGAGTAACTCTCCTTTGAAGTCTTTCATTCATATGACCATGTTCTAAATAATACCTCTTCTGCAGAAAATCCATCTTTAACAAAAAATATTTATTGACATCTCTTCAGTGTAATCATGTACATAGTGATAGAGCAGTTTCACAGGGATATTAATTTAGCAAAGAAAAAAAATTCAGTCAATTGACTTCAGTCTTTAGTTTTCTTACTCATAAATGTTTTCCGACCGGCACCTTTATTAGACATTGAAATATGTACGTGTGAGCTTTCTTGTTACCTTTATCGTGTGTAGTAACTGTCCTGTTCAGTCAATGTCAAGTCAAATTTATTTATATAGCCCTAAATCACAAAAAGTCTCCAAGGGCTTCACATGCCCACAGTTGACAAATATTTCAAGTCAAGTCAAGTCAGCTTTTATTGTCAAATATGCTCTATGTGTAACATACAGCACAGATGAAATTACTTTCCTCTCTCAACCACAGTGCAAATTTGTAGTGCGTTGAACACACACAGCTAAAATCTACATTAAAATTCCATAGACATAAATATGTTAAATAAAAATAAATAAACAATGGCCACAACAGACAACCAAGGGCGCTTGTGATTATTGTATATTCGTAGTTACTTGTTTTAAGTGCAATAATCAGATGTCAGATACTGGGGGAGGGACACTGATTGTGGCAGGAGGCAGGGGTAGATGGGGGGGAGTGCGGGCAGAACATGGAGGGAGTTTAGTCTCCTGACCGCCTGGTGGAATAAACTGTTCTTGAGCCTGGTTGATTTAGCAGAGAGACATCGCAGCCTCCTCCCCGACGGCAGCACGTCGAAGAGACTGTGAGACGGGTGGGTGGGGTCACCTGCGATCTGGGTGGCTTGGCGGGTCAGACGAGAGTTGTAAGTGCCCGTGAGTGGAGGAAGAGAGACGCCAATGATCTTCTCAGCCGCTCTCACAATGCGCTGTAGACTCTTTCTGCAGGACACGGTGCAAGTGGTGTACCACACGGTGATGCAGCTGGTCAAGATGCTCTCAATGGTGCCTCTATAGAAAGTCTGCTGATCTTAACCCCCAGGAGGGCACGGAGAAATTAAAAAAAAAACATTTGGAGAAAAAATTGAAACCTTGAGAAGGGACCGCAGATGGACGATTCCCTTTTCTAGGATGATCAGGCTTCAATGGATGCAAAGTGGGCAACATTTGATAATGTTGTGCAATACAATGTTAGTTAGAATGGTTATAAACGTCCATTTAACGAGATAAAACGCTGCAGAAAGATGCCTTTGGAGAGGTGGGTGCTCATCAAAACCTGGCCCGGGTGGTCAATGAAGAAATCTTCATAGCAGCGCCTCTGATTAGGTGGTCCACCCAAGATCTTGTTCAGCTCAGTCAGTGCAAATCTTGTCCGGATCAGTCAGAGCACAATCCTCAACTCTGAACCATAGTTATTTGGCTTGTTCAAAAGGTAAATGTCACGCACCTCTCGGTCTAGTGACTTCAAGCACAGCAGTCAAACACAGACGAATGAACAGGATGTCGTAATGCTTGCTTATTCAACTGGGGCTTTGTTCCATCCCATTTCAGCAGCAAACATTTGGCACTCACCGTTGTAACTGAGCGTACCTGCTCAGCGCATTTATCTTAACTACGACTACTTGTTTTCGTTTTTGGCTTCTACCGTTCCACCAGTGTCAACATCACACGTGCAGGTTACAGTGCACTTCGCCCCACATAAAATAAAAAAAATAAATCCAGCACTTCACCTCTCATTTGTCCCGCAAAACACCAGTCAAATTAAGCACGTGCTAATTGGTCCCATAAAAACCAATTCAAGTCGGATATTTTCATGAATTTATAAAATCCTCCTGGACGCCCGGACAGGGTGTAAAAAAAGTGTACATGTCTGCACAAAAGAGGGTGTGCCATCACCATCAGTAAAGGACCTACTCCTTTTAACTGTGCTAGCTAGCTAATATAGTTTCTTCAGCAGTGGTGCAAGCAAAATCTCATCCCAAATGATTTCTAGTCTTTCCTGAAGTCACGGAGTCAGTGCATTCCGTAGTCGTCATATTAACGAATATGTTTCGCTAAGTTTGTCTCCTTTGGGTATTCGTAGCAGAAATGTGGCGGCCAAACATGGCAGCCTCCTGTAAGGGAGGCACACCCGATGTAATATAATTAGCGATGACTTCACCTACAATTACATAAAAAAAGTTTACATCGACGTGCTAGAACAGATTTTTTTGTATATTATTGAAATTAATAGTGGTTCTTTGAAATAAGAACAATGAAAGCTCAACAAATGTTGACGCATTGTCACTGACAGTCAATGTTGATAAAGTAAAATACTGCAACTGTGCTTTAATGATCAATAATTTTATGCTACAACATAGGGCTGGGTGTAGATTCAGGTTTCCAAAATCAATTTAATTCGATTCATGAGGGCCCGATTACGATTTACGATTCACTTTGAGTTTCAATTCAGTTCACATGACCAAATCAATACAATGAATAATATCCATCCACCCATTTTAAAATCAGCTTCTACTTACAAGGATGGTGGGTGTGCTGGAGCCTATCCCGGCTGTCTTCAGGCAGTAGAAGACGGACACCCTAAACTGGTTGCCAGCCAATCACAGGGCACACACAGAGGGATAATTTAGAGGAAACAATTCACCTACGGCGCATGTTTCTGGAATGTGGGAGGAAACCGGAGTACCCGGCGAAAACCCACGCAGGCACGGGGAGAACATGCAAACTCCACACAGGAAGGCCCAGAGCCGGACTCGAACCCTGCACCTCTGCACTGTGAGGTGAACGTTCTCACCAGTCGACCACTGTGCCGCCCACAATAAATAATAATTTTAATCAATTCCAACCACTGGGCAGGCTGTATAAACGAAGTGGCAAAAAAACACAGTAAACTCATAACATTTACATCCCTGACTGTCTCGCAAAATTTCAGTTTATTGATGTCTTCATGTTTTTAAAACCCCATAAACCACATTCAAGCTTGTTGGCGCTGATGTCGGTGCTTCCACCATGTTATTTTAATATGCTCCTCTCGTATACTGAAGTCCTCCGAATTTATGGGAAAAAGATTTATGGTTCAATATCGGGCGATGAAAAGGAAATTCATCCGCTTTATCCTCACAAGGGCCGTGGGGGGTGCTGGAGCCAATCCCAGCTGTCTTCGGGCAGTAGGCGGGGAACACCCTGAACTGGTTGGCTATGAAAAGGAAATTCGATTCAAATCGAGTATTTTTTTTTTTTTAATGATATGATGACTGATATGATAATTACCAATACAGAACAAATTTATATTGGAATTTTAATTAAACACAGGGCGGCGTGGTGTGGCCTCATAGTGCAGAGGTGCAGGGTTCGATTCCGGCTCCGGCCTTCCTGTATGGACTTTGCATGTTCTCCCCATGTCTGCGTGGGTTTTCTTTTTAAAATGTCGCAATTCCTCATTTGTGGGCTATTTCCTGTTTTACAGTGGAATGAAACTATTCAACTCTTCCGTGGTGGCATGCCATTAAGAAGACACTGGATGCACCTCCGCTACTATGACTGCACTTTTTCAGGATCGGAGGCTGTGGATTATCTCCATCAGCTTCTTCGGCACAACTGCAACTTTGGGCCAGAGGTGACTCGCAACCAGACTTTACAGCTGCTTAGGAAGTTCCTCAAGGCGCATGTCATCGAAGACATTAAGGGACGCCATGGGACGGAGGACTTTGAAGATAACTGTCATTTGTACAGGTAAACATACTTTTTAATGGACAGGTGTGAGACTGGACTGCTTACTCTAAAGACACATGTTGGCAAGGCATCAAACTACCAGTTGGTGTGGGGTGCAACCCCTGTGCACAGCCCCATTTTGTTTGCTAACCGCATACTTGTTAATGTGAGCATCAAAAAATGGTTCCAAAATTGGTACAGTACAAGACAATACTGTACATATTTTTTTATATAGTGCTTTCACAATAGCTGCAGCTGTAACAAAGTGCTTGACAGAACATTGAACATAAAATAACAAAAATAATACAGCAGAACACGACATAAAACACAGACAATAATCCAATTGTAGCAAATATTTCTGCATACGCCTTGTTTGAAGCACTTATAGATGAAGGAGGAGAGAATCAAAGTCTGTTAGTGCAGTAGTCTGAAATGTTCCCCTCCTTGCAGGATGAAAAAATGGTCTTTTGTCTGTTTTCCTTTTCTCTTTCTTCCAATACTTATCCTAACTTTTGTTAGTGAGTCTTTAGCACCATTATGATTATCAGGAGGAAAAAAAGCAAATGTGTCATTGTTTGGAAAAGTGCATATGCTATCCTCTATTGCATGAATTGACAATGATCACTGTGGTTTTTTTTCGTTGATGGAAACTCTGTGACGCTGATTTTGATGATTTTATGAAGTCAGGTGATACAGTGAAGCACATGTGATTTTGTGTGTGTGGTACTCCACTGAGTGCATTGATGTCTCCTTTTGTTATAGATTTCCCAGTTTGTCTCCCCTCAAGTCTCTTCCATTGAGATCTCTGTCTCGACACAGCACTGACCTGCCAAGACTCATCCGCTGGGATGACTATGAGGAATTACCACAGCAGGAGAATGCAGCACCTGTGAAGTCTAGCATGGTGAGATGGTAACAGTTGTGCACGCTCAAATAAATTCATTACTGAATGTGTAGGATGTAGTGAAAGTCTTCCAATTTCATTTTAAAACGCTGCATAGCACAAACTCCGCTTTACTAAGAGTTCTTAACAACGGCCTCCTGCCAAATGACTACGGTACTGACTAAATGACTACTGCTGTGATGTGTTTCTTGTCCGGCTGGAGGTGTTTTATACTATGCCCCAAAACATCTTAGAATCTCAGTTACAGCAATTTGTGCATCAGTGGTAGCGTTCTGGATTGGTCTACATCAGGGGTCACCAATCATTTTGAAACCGAGAGCTACCACTTTGCTACTGATTAATGCGAAGGGCTACCAGTTTGATAGGCACTATTGAAATCACAAATAAGATAGATATCATAACATGTTTGTACTATAAACATAATCATGTTATTGTTAATAATGATACTCAATGATGTGAAGATCTGATGTGAATTAGGGCTGAATGATTCATCGAAATGTTATCGTGATTTAGGTTTTGGATTCGATTTAATAGAAGAAAAACGATTCATGCGCAGAAGAGCGCGGTGGATTTGCGAGTTCCGGACGTTGTCAAAGTACCCTGGAATGCACAATGTTGCTTGAGTACCAAGCATGGAGCGCATGTAATTCTGTCCTCCCTGAGTGTGCTTCTAGCTGTTTAATGACACCCAGTTGGAGTTTATTGTAAAACTAAACATACAATAAAAAACGACACACATTTAAATACAAAACATGTTCTGTTTTTAAAACTGGGGTTACATTTACGCTAGCTGTAAGGAGACACATCTTCCGAAAAGTTCAACTATAATCCATAGCATATTCCCCAAAAAGCCTGAGATATCATTCTGATGCTTTTTTGAAAAGGTAAGACTCTGTGTCAGAGCTGGGCAAAGTATGGCCCAGAGGTCACATCCAGCCCGCCCATCGTCTCTGACTGGCCTTCACAGTGACCATGAAGTCAAAATGAAACACAAATTTTGCTGTGCTCTTCTTTTGAAAGTTATCATTTTATTTCATGAGTACATGCGAGGATACCAGTTTAGGTGAAGTAGCGCGAGCAAGAGCCAACAATTTGCAGTGGTGCCTACTTTGCGACGTTTTCACTAATTTGAGTGATTCCAGCTATACACCGCCAGTCAAAACTTGGACACAGTTTCTCATTCAATAGCACTAGAAACCGGTAGTGTGTGTGAACACACGGCTCATGTTCATAATTTATTACACTTAATTATCAAGCAATGTAGGAAAGATGCATGTCAATATCAAGATGCAATCTTTTCTTAATTTAAAGTCTAAGAAAGTGTTTGCATTCAGAGAACTTGGCACTGTTTCATGACTAGTCAGTGATTTTTACAACAGGCGGGTGGGCTACTCATGTGGTCTTTGCAGGCTAACTGGGGCCCATGCTCAAAATTGGATGTTGGCTTGAATGTGAGTGTGAGTGGTTGTTTGTTTCTGTCCCCTGACATTGGCTGGCGATCAGTTCAGGGTGTACGCCAGGGGTGTCAAACTCATTTTTTTCGCGGACCACATTGTAGTTACGGTTTGCCTTGGAGGGCCGTTATGAATTTTGGGAAACCATACAAATGTTTAATCACCTCCACATATTACATACGCAGCGCACAACAAATTGATGATGATGAATAACTAGTTTTAAAATCAGTCAAGTCAAGAATAATAACTGTTATTGTGGATTACATATGACAATTTAAAATTTTGGTTCAGACTTTAACAAGCATCATGGAACTTGACATGCTTGATTTGCTTTTGCGGGCCACATAAAATGATGTGGCGGGCCAGATCTGGCCCACAGGCCTTGATTTTGACACTTGTTGGGTACGCCGTCTTTCGCCCAAAGTCAGCTGGGATAGGCTCCACCACATGCGTGGCCCCAGTGAGGATAAGCACGATAGAGAATAGACGGATGGATCTTTGTCTGCATGCTGTATTCACGTTTGTTGCTATCTTTATCATTAAAGTGGGGAAATTAAAAAAAGAATTTCAGAAGAGGGCAAAATTATAAATTGGTTGATGATGATGATGGTGATTAGTCGTAATAGCGGTACTTTTTTTTTTTTTTTTGTAGTAGTAGTAGTAGTAGTAGTAGTAGTAGTAGTAGTAGTAGTAGTAGTAGTCGTTGTGGTTGTATCTGGCAGACAGAACTAAGTGTCTGAGATTTCATAGTTTTTAGTCCCAAACTGCTCCACTGTCTTTTGCAGTTCCACAGGATTTTAATTCTTGGTGTATCTACTCTGGTCAAGAACAACGCTTCGTACTGATGTCCACAATGGTTTTATTTCGCTTCCATTTTGGAACACCATGAAAACTAAAAAAGACATTCCAAACATCAACAATCAACATTACAATAATCTGTTTGACACAACATTAAATAAATCTATTTAAAACACCCCCCACAGCCCCAAAGATAAGATACCGTGTGCACCTTGTAAACCGACAGTAGATAAATTGAAAATACAGTCAACCAGACGATATCATTTGCGCGCTCTCTCTCTCTCTCTCTCTCTCTCTCTCTCTCTCTCTCTCTCTCTCTCTAAAAAAAAATATATATAACTCCCTCGCACCATCCGGCATGCGTGACCCCAAACCGGAAGAAATCTTTCAGAAAATATCTCAAATAATAATTTGAAAAGATTTCAAGAAAAAAAACACATATCAAGGTTCGTATGGAAACAAACACACTTTCACCAAACAACAACCTCAAATAAATGTTAGATCCTAGTTGTCATGGCAACCAAGTGAAACCAATACCGGCGCCAGCTACGCGTGGACTCTGAATATTCTATTTGTATTTGCTGCCCCTGGACTTCACCTTGCGCAGGCATGCGATTTCCTTCCGTCGCTATTCTCATGTCACTCAGGTTTACTCTGTCTCACTACGAAGAAAGCTGTTTTCTTCTTAGAAGTGCTTTTGTTGTGAACTGAAAACATGAAATCCTGGATTTCCTTGAACCTTTTTTAGATTTTAAAGAAAAGAAAAAATGAAGTGATGGTTTTTGGTTGGTCGCAGTGTTCAACCACCCACCACCAAGCTCCGACCCGTGAGCGTGGACCCCTTCCCGCACGATGTGTAGGAAACAGCCTCAAACTTGGGTTTTTAGGTTGGGCTGTGATTTTTAATTGGATCAGCAATTTGGTACAGCTGTGACTCCATCTTATTTTGCCTTTGGCTGCTGATAAAGGTGAAGCTCTTTCTTGCATGGCAGCACTTTGAATCAGTCATCCTGCCTTCATCACATCAGCCAGTCCTACCTCAAATATGTCCACTAGGTTCAAAATGCTGCTGCTCTCCTTTTAACTCGAACATGTAAGGCAGAGCAGATAACTCGTAGACTAGCCTCTCTCCGCTGGCTACCTAAGCACTTTAGAATTTATTGTAAGATTATTTTATTTGTTGTTAAAGTTTGTAAATGGTCTTGCCCCTCCTTGCGCTGCTCCAACCATACGCTCCTGCCCCATACCTTAGGTCAGCTGACCAGCTGCTCCTGTAGGCCCTGAAGTCAAAGCGGATGTTCAGAGCGGGTCACGTTCTTTCTGATGTCGATCCCAGACTGTGGAATAATCTGCCAGAACACATCAGACGAGTCCCCTCATTGTCCATTTGTAAAACACATTTCTGTTCCTTGACTCTCAACTCAGCATGACACTCTGCCCTTGTTTCATTTTTGCGTTTGTGTGTGTGAGTGTGTTCTTTAATTGTTTAATGTCTTATGTTCTATTCTTATTTATTTTCAGCACTTTATTTCATCTCTGGTTGTTATTTTAAAGTGGTAGATGAACCAAAATGTTTGCAAAACGTTTACATCGCTGTCCTTTTTAACAGACTTCCGATTTTTGGACCAAAAGGCACAGTGTAGCAATCGGGGATGTGCATGAATGCAAGCTCATTCGCAGAAAAGATATTACTCCCAAGGAAGTGGACCACATCTGGAAATCAATGACAGCTGCACAGTATGTACCAATCCCTCTAATGCCATTCTCCATTTTGTTGTTTTTCTCAATCTACTACATGAATTGACTTTCAGCTTACAGCAAGTGCTGGGTTTAACAACATTGGATGGTATATTAAATCCAGCACACGTGAAAGGCAAATACATAGTTCACAACGTCTTCAACATCAACAAGTCGGGCATAGTTGTGTTGGAGAACAATGATGGTAATGGCACTGGACTTACAAGTAGTTTGGATGTGATGAAATATCTGACTATTATCCGTCTGATTCCCTCTTCCCAGATGACATGCCCTACTGGGTGATATCAGCAATGAAATGCCTCGCCAAGTGTAAGTATACTCTTGTTTGCAAAGTCGTACTGTAAAACAACAACAAAAAAAGGCACTGAACTGACACTTGTTTTTCAGACTACAGCAGACAACATTTGTGTGAAGGATGTCTTAAAAAAAAAACTGTAATGAGACACAAGCATTTGGGCAATTATTTTTTTGCCGCAGTGAGATCAGTTTAGGAAAACTCCTCTGTTCTGTAACAACTGTGCAGCAGTGCACAACGTGTGCTCTCTAAAAGCATGGTTGAATGAGTTTGGTGTCGAAGAACCTGACTGATAAACATGAATTGCATACTCAAACAGTAAAAATACACGACTGTAATTGCATCGCAATGCCAATCCTCACCAAAACTGAAAAGGTTCTTCCATGGTCGTTGCACCATTCATTTACAACCGTGGTTCTAAAACGTTTCACACAAAGTGCCACCATCATAAACCGGATTAAAATATAGTTGGATAGTGGGCCTAAGCGTTTATAAGAATTCGGCAGAAGTTTTATTCATAATTATTCTTTAATACTCAGTGATAATTTTGCAGTTTAACCCCAGCGAGTCCCAGGGACTCGCTGATCAGAAAAGTATGAGTCCCATTATGCATTTAGAGAGTCCCACATTTCGAATTCTGAAATGGTCTACTTATTCAATTGCATATGATAATAACACAAACAACAACAATATACATTGATAATAGGTTTGTTTCTGATAAACAAATGCCGCAAAAATTTAAATAATTCAGGCAAACACGATTTGCTGAGAAATAGGTTCTTATTTCATCCCATGGTTCAGTCTTTGAGTTCATAAATTCTCCTCTCTTTACTCTGCTTCCAATGATGCAAGGCTTTCTCAAAGTCAACTTAATATCGCAAAAAACTATTCAACTTTAGCTGCTTCCTCTGTAAGATCTCCGCAATAAACTTTCAGAACACTTGTTCGCAACACTTGTTTTAACGTTACACAACTTGGCAATCGTCTGCTTTCCACGAGGTTTGAAGGCCGATCTCGCCAATCTCGTCTCGCGAGAACGGAAATCTCGTCACGCGAGATTACTTAATGCAAGATCCAAACAACAATGGCGGCGATTGTTGAACTTCGACACTGAGTTGCTGGAAAAAAAAGATGTAGTTTTTTTTTTGCTTTGTTTTGACTGAGAAATTTCCTTGGGTGCCAAAATAGCACATTATTCGGAACTGTGCGTCCCGCGGGAAAATTATGTGTCTAGGACGCGGGATGCAGTGGTAACGAGATGACTGAATATTGTACAGAGTGCAAGACACTGTGACATGATGCGGTTTGCCTTCCACTCAAACAGTAGTCCTTATATTTCCTCGAAGAATATGTACCGGAAGGTACTTAAATAATGATTGGATCAACATTGATTGCACAGAAAAGTTAAATAATTGCCCACATCTCTTGAACATACTGTTCACTCTACTTTGTTCTTCCATTCTCCACATTCCCCCTCTCCCTCGTTCAACCGTAAATCATACTCGGTACCTTCATGACTGCCCAGACAATGGGAAAATACCAAACTCATGAACAATCTGCTCAACACAACTTGTTCAATGATTATCTTGCATCCTTCCAGAGAGAGCCCCGAATACCACATTTTGAGAATCACCGCTCGACAGAACATTTTGAAAACTGGTTTTGTATTTTTTGTTCTCCTGCCAGTTCTGATCTATTGTTTCACCATGTCAAAGTGACTACTTTTGACAACCGTCATTAAATGAACAACGCTCGTCCTTTTGCATGGTATTTTATTTCACAGTGGTAATTTCAGTGAAGGGAACACAAAACAATTAACTCTTTTTCTGTTTAAGGGCCTAATGGCAATGACACCAAACAACCAGTGTACCCGGGATTTGAGAGAGATGTCTTGAAAACCGTGGCCGACTACTATCAGCGACTCAAAGAACCCCTTCTGACTTTCCATCTTTATGAAGTCTTTGTCAACATTCTCAGTGAGCTAAACTTTTTACAGGATCTGTACCCCCACGAGTGAAAACTTTATCCTTGCCTGCTTGATTTCCTCCCCAGGTCTACTACAGGAGCAAGATTTGGCCACTGAGGCTCTTCAAGTCAGCACTCTTTTGCTCTCGCCGCCCAATCGACGTCATCTTCAGCTATTGCTGAGACTCATGGCGCGGGTCTCGCAGAACCCCCATCTGCCACCACTCAATGACACTATTGCCACACGCACACTGGTATGGATTCCTTACGAGTTATTTTCTTCATGTGTTTCAATCATCATTCTATCTAGTGCCAGACAAAAGTTTGGAAACACAAAAAAAAATTAAGTGTTGATTCATTATTTGAAATAAATAAATACATCCAGATTGATACATAACAGGGTTCCCACGGGTCCTTAAAGTTAATAAAAATCCATAAAAAAAGAAGTTGTAAAATTATGTTCTTAATTGTCCTTACTTTTCAGGAAAAGCTTCTAAAAAAAAAATCCTTAAAAATTAACCTGTGGTGTTCATTTCATTTGTGTATGTCATTTTCCCCACCCTTCCAATGAATAGTTTTGTCGGAAAATGCACCTGGCGCCCTTCCCCTCAAAGCCCCCTGTCGGGCTACATGCCTTCCTGGTTCCCGCTCTGCTTTTCCCGCCGTCTCCGATCAGTTCCGATGATGATCATGTGATTGGGCCACGTTATTTCGGACCAATTTGACATACAGTATGTCAAATAAAGGGTTAGCTGATTGCCCCTAAAATTAAAGATGTGCCCTTCCTTTGGCAGCAATGATTTGAACACCAGCTCAGTGATATGTGGCTTTCTGTTCATTAAATCCACTGTGAAACCCCTGCTGAATGGAGAAACGGTCCTTAAAAATGGCTAAATTAGCCCTCAAAAGTGCTTAAAAGGTCCATAAATAAAAAGCAAGTGGAAGAGTGGGAACCCTGCATAAGTCATTGATGTTATGAAGAAATAATGACAGAATTCAGGGATATGTCCCATACGTGGACCACTTTACAGGGTGTGGTAGGAAGAATTTCATCCGGTCACACGAGCGCAAGTTCACGTTTTAATTAGTGGTGCAAGAGATCATCTTTGATCTATGATCTGTACAGATCACACGCCATGGTTGGGGCAGCACATCGTCCGCGGATTGTTTGGTTTAAAGAAAAAACTGCATGCACTATCGCAAAGCATAGCAGTGGTTATGACGAGCGGAAGAAGAACCCCTCTCGCCCCCCCCAATATTTTCAGAATGGAGCAAAAAGCGAATGGCGAGAACTACATTTTTCGGGGACAAAGACATCCAGTGCACCTTTGAATCGGCGAGAAGAAACGCCCACGCACTTATTACTGCCGAGCGAGGTGAGTTTAACAGTGTTCGCAAGGCAAAACAAGTCCATGGAAGCTGCAAAGTTGAAACAAACCAACAAAAAAAGCTCATGGATCACAATAGCCATTGTGGAAATGAGCGTCGAGGGTGAAAAAATGGTACGACCAACTAGACACCATGGGCCATTCTTGGACACTGGAGCAACGGATTATGCTATGGCGCTACTACAAAGGTAAACATGAAATACAGTAAATATTTTTGGGGAAAATTGTCATATTGTTTGTTATCTGTTGAAATAATTGCCAGCAGTCTGTTTTTTGTGAGTGCGTGTGTTTTGACCGCCGCACTGTAGTGAAAATGTTTTCCTGTTTCAAGTTTCATCACACAACTACTCATGAACCAGGATAGAGGATTTATTTACACACAGTATATTCGGTTTTTTTTGTTAGCCACTGTAATATTCACTTTGAACGGAAACATTGCATTGACATACAGGGGAGAAATGTCCCACAAATAATGAGGCATTGCAGTTTGAATAAATTTAATTACTGTAAATAAGTGTTAAAAGATGTTTGATAGAACACAAATGTAAGGTTCACGATTACAGGCCCATACAATGTAACAGTGAACTCTGATCTTATTTGGCACGTATTTTGATTCACAGCTGTTGTGGATGGATATTTGGTGAAAGAAGCTCAGCATCAGAAGTGCAGCATCTCCTGCAACTCCAGCATTGCCTGTCCTGGTAAATTTCATTTCACATCACTTAGAGGACATTCAACTCATTTACTGTTCCTCATTTTGCGTTTATATGTCAATCGGTAAGCGGAAAACGAAAGCAACCAACCAATTCTTCCTGAATCCTGGATGTGCTATGCTGCTATTTCTGAGGTACAAACTACAGTATTAGACTTACAAAATTACTTCATGTTTGTATTTAGTTTGTCACCTGTTGTCGCAATTATTAGAAACACTTTTTAGTTACCTAGACTAGAGCAATTACAGGCTGATGCTAAAGCGAAGGTTCTGCCTATGCAACAAAGTTTTTACTCACCACCAAAATAGACCCATGCAAGTACAGTACCCATAAAACAAGACATATTATTAATCCAAATAAAGTACACAGTCATTAAAGTTATTAGCTGTCAGCAACTGCAATATGCACAATTTGTCTACAACTGCGCTATGAGGAAAATAAAACAGTCGTGATTAAAATAAAATTTAGTGCACGTTAAATGAAAGAAAAACAATATTCCTGAATAAATACATTCAAAGAAAATCAACTGTTAAAGATAAAATGCAAATGCATGCATAAAATCAATTACTTCTATCATCATACCAAACTGTGACATTTTTTTTATTTATTTTTTTGCAAGTTTTTTGGAGTTACATGGACGGACGGACATGCTGAAGACGTCTCCAATGCATGGACAAGTGTAAGCTCTTCATCTGGCCACCAAGCAGCAGCCCTCATTCAGCATTCGTCCATGTCAGTAAGACCTTTTACATGCAATAACGCGTCGTATAATTCTTTCACCAACTGTTACTCATTTTGCGTTTCTATGTCAAAGGAAAGCGCACAATGAATGGGGCCTTAGATTCACAGAAAATAGAAATTGCAAGCCAGGCGATCACGAGGCCAGAAAATGACATGAGGCCAGGCAGATGTTCTTCCAAGTTGTGGACAATGTCAAGTTGGCCTGAGAGCAGGACTGGAAAATTCAGCCAGGCTTCTGGCTGTTTGTTTTGTATTTTAAAATGTACGAATAAAAAGACGCAGTGTACAATTTATTCTGTTTTTCACTGTACCATTTGTTCTTTTTTTTTCTTCATAACTTTCCATGCAAACACATCTACATATACCAAATATTTTACGCTGCTGTAATTAAAACAATGAAGTCATTATTTAGTTCATTTATTTAACCTTCACTTATCTAGGAAAGGTATTTGAAACGTAGGCACGCTTGCGATGGACCACTCACGACCGTGTTTGCGTCAGCTAAGTTATGTATAATAGTGTGTTATGGTTCCGGACCAGTCCGGAACAGGAGCGGATCCCACAAATGCAAACAAGGATAAGATCGAATAGAAAAAGGTTTCGTTACAAAATAAGGTCGCGAGACTGACAAAGTGCAACATAAATTGCTGCAACAAGTAATGCTACTCACAGAAAGAGCTTGCAAGAGAAATAAATAACGAAAAATCACTTGTACAAAAAAATGACAAGGAAAAGCCAATCAATGAATAAAACAAAAATGCGCCTAGGTACCAAAGCAAATGAGAGAAAACAAACCAAAATACAATCATGTAAATAATACCAATTTTGACTTTCCCTTGACCCATTTTATTACATTTTGAATCAGTGATAGATACTCACATTTCTTAAGTGCATATAGCGCAAATGACGATCTTCAGTTCGGCGCTTGCCGTACCTTGCGTTGAGCCTCGAGCCGATACCAACTGATGAGCTGTTACCTTCCACCCCAGTCGCGATCCAGAACTTTCTCTGCACCACCTTGAGACATTTACCACCATCCCTAGCGTCAGCCCCACTAGGAGGCTCGCTTGACTTTTGGATTTTTACTGGAATCTTCCATCACTGTGCTGTTTACTGGCCGGCTGTCAGCTGGTGGTTCAATTTGTTTTCTTTGAATGATGATACATTTAACTCTTAGTGCCATCATAGATATAATGCAAGTACTAATGATTGTACTCACCCCGGCCTAGGTGGTGCAAATGTTCTCGCAGTGCGTTTTGGGCTCCCCGGATGAGATGGACTTGGATGAGCTGCTTGCCTCAAAACTGGTCACTTTCATGATGGAGCATCACCACACCATCTTCCAAGTGCCCGACAAGCTGCGCTGTCAAGTTGAGGAGCACCTTTCCCACCTGCGAAGAGTTCAGGTCTGTGTTATTTAGGAATGTATGAGTACAGTATGATAAATCCGTGAATGGTGATATACCCGGTGCTGTTTTTCGGCATGGGTGATGGCAGCGCCGTGAAAAGGTATTTGCCCTCTTCTCAACTGCTTGCTTTTTTTTTTGGCATTACATTTCTCATCTTTTCTTGAATTTCTTTGGATCATGGCCTTTTGTAACAGCTTTTTGGGCAACTTCTTTTCTTTTTTTTTCTTTTTAGAAGGGTTCTGTTTAAGCAATTCCTCTATTGAACACGTCTGGAAGTAATCAGGCTTAGGTGTGATAAGCAAAAATGAATTCAGCTTTCCCAAGCTTTGATTCGCCGCAGTTAATTTTTCACACAAGGCCAGATAGCTTTGAAAAAAAAAACAGATACTCGGTGCTGTTTTTCGGCATGGGTGATGGCAGTGCCGTGAAAAAGTATTTGCCCTCTTCTCAACTGCTTGCTTTTTTTTTTGGCATTACATTTCTCATCTTTTCTTGAATTTCTTTGGATCATGGCCTTTTGTAACAGCTTTTTGGGCAACTTCTTTTCTTTTTTTTTCTTTTTAGAAGGGTTCTGTTTAAGCAATTCCTCTATTGAACACGTCTGGAAGTAATCGGGCTTCGGTGTGATAAGCAAAAATGAATTCAGCTTTCCCAAACTTTGATTCGCCGCAGTTAATTTTTCACACAAGGCCAGATAGCTTTGAAAAAAAAAACTGTCAATCAAAAAAAAAGAGAAAGAAAGAAAGGAAAATTTAAAAACTGCATTTTATATTTCCTTGGGTTACCTCCTTTATCGTTTACATTTGTTTGATTATCTTAAACATTAGCGTGAAGCAGCTTTTTGGCCAACTTCTTTTTTTTTTCTTTTTAGAAGGGTTCTGTTTAAGCAATTCCTCTATTGAACACGTCTGGAAGTAATCAGGCTTAGGTGTGATAAGCAAAAATGAATTCAGCTTTCCCAAGCTTTGATTCGCCGCAGTTAATTTTTCACACAAGGCCAGATAGCTTTGAAAAAAAAAACTGTCAATCAAAAAAAAAGAGAAAGAAAGAAAGGAAAATTTAAAAACTGCATTTTATATTTCCTTGGGTTACCTTTATTGTTTACATTTGTTTGATTATCTTAAACATTAGCGTGGACAAACAATGCCAAAAAAAATATTTGAGAAGAAATACAAGACAAATACTTTTTCGTGGCACTGTAAATAGAGGATCGTCTCTCTCCTGCAGAGGCAACATGGCATGGCCTTACACAATAGTACACCTGCTGTTTTTGGTTTGTCTGTGCTTTTCAGCTGATATGCCTAACAAGAAGTATCTGAACAAGTCTGGCTCCTAATGGTTGTGCATCTGCAGTTGGTCTCTGTAATGATCTGTAGGAGTCTCTCATTGTATTTTTATTTTATTTTTTTAAAGCAGCGAGCTTGTGTCCTCTTTCCCCAACACAGCACACAAATATTGAATGACTCATGGACTGTGGTGATCTGTCTCTCCCTAGCAAGCACAAGAACAGGGTGAAACACCTTACACCGTGGCAGAGACTTGATGGATATGATTACATGCTAATCATACAGTGGGAGGTGGCGCTTATGGACATTACACAAACGGTTTTCACACGGAGACAGACCCAATGACAGTTTTCTTCCGCCTTTATTGTACACATACCCATAATCTTGTTGTTATTTCAGTTAAGGGCGGAAACATGATTTCATGTGATCAAGCTTGCATACAATATTTGAGGTGGAGCTAATTTGAGCGTCAAAGGCAACCATTTCTTCAAGTTCAAGTCAACTTTATTGTCAAATGTGCTCTATGTGCAACATGCAGCACGGATGATATTTCTTTCCTCTCAACCACAGGAGAGAGAGGAGCCGCTGCGGATGCCCGCGTCACCACCAACAGAACAGTTACCATAAAATGACAAAATAATACCACACAGCACATAAGACACAGACAGTCGTGCACTCTCAACCACTTTTTCCGCATACACTTTGTTGTTTGAAGCAGTTATAGATGAAAGAGGAGCGAATCAAAGTGTCCTTTTCACCAGTGGATCAGAGACGTCATGCTGAAAACGTGCACACGTCTGCTACAAGCTAAGTTTGAAAGCAAACACGAAACTGTAGAGTCCATTGACGAAAAAGAGATTGGCTCACATCTCCTGTCCCCTGTAAATCCGCTTCAATTCCAAGCGGCGACTCCCAGTTCCACATACGCATCTGCGCTGACGCTTCTTTCTTCTCATCGTCGGCTCCACAAGCCATCCATCCATCCAGCCGCAGACTGTCCAACAGCACCGACATTTCCGCTGAACAAAATGGGCTGTGAAAAATTCTTTGGTGTTTATACATGCGCAGACAGGCAAAACTTTCATTTGCGTTTGTTTTTTTGTCCCCCCCCCACCAGATTAAATATGCAGGTTCTGATACAGACTTCAGCACATCTCCAGCATTTCACAAACAGATTCGACGGGTGGTGTCAGAGGAGCCAAAGGTGATTGGTACCCAGACTCCCCTTCAGGAGCTACTGGAAGGCCTGATCTCTGACAAAGAGCTTCCTGCCAAGGACAAAAAGAAAAGACTAAAACAGGTATGCCCTCGTGTGGACAAATACAGATCTAATATGCCATTTTCGAGAATGCAACACCCTCCCATTTTACTTTGCTCAGTCCAGCGCCTACTTTTATTTCAGTTTCAAAAGTCTTATCCTGAAATCTACCGCAATCGATTCCCCTCTGAGGAAAGTCGAGCTGCTGTCATGCCTGAGAAAAACCCTCGCCTCAAACCTCACCTCCTGTTTTTCAACCTCAAGAAACCATCGAACCCTTTTCAGAGGAGCTGGAGTTTCAGGGCCTGAAATACCACCGCTGAGTCTGGTTTAGTTAAGCATGGTGTGTAACGGTACTGTATGACACCCCAGAATGCTTGTTCAACAAAACTGTTTGTTTCACAAACCTTCAGAGAAAGGTTGATTAAAAAGGTTGGGAAGAGGTCGACACTTTGCCATAAAGTATTTGTGGACTGTGTTGTGTCAATTAAATTCATTATGGGCAAATCAGATCAACAAATAACATCAATCAACAAGTGCTGCTGCAAAAATATGTGAGTGACGAGCAGCGACGTGCAGAGGGGCCAAACTGCCAAAGGAGGAATATATCTGACCTTCAAACTTTTATTTTCTGCTCACACTTGGAAAAAAAAAAGTTCTATATTTTGAACTAGCCATGATACTGTTTCAACTTGTGGTTTAGAAAAGTCAAAATCTAACAGAAAAGGAGGTAGATGAAACCACTAACCATACTGAAAATTATAAATAATAAATAGTTTTAAAACATATTTATGTTTACAATTCTCGAGCGCTAAAAGAACCACTGCTGTTTGTTACAATGAATTCAAGGAGTTGAGTACTTGTTCAGATTAAGATTAAAATTGCACTCAAGTGAAATATATGCATTTCAAAAATATGAAAGTGTTACTGGGTCTAAACATCGTTGTATGTGAAAATCAAAAGCTTTGTGTTAATTTTCGACTGCATTCAATAAGTCAACTCTGTACAGGATACACCCCCCCCCCAAAAAAAAAACAGCTGGTACACGGTTGTATGTTTCATTTGTAATAATCATAATGATCACGCTTTCTATAAATTACAATTGAAAATCAGCAAACGGCACCCTTTTCTCCAAAAACGAACTTTAGATCTCATTTGATGTGCACTCTCAAACATGTTTTCCTTTTTAATGTATGTATGTACGGGTGTGTCGACTTTCCTAATCGGTACATATTTCAATGTATTATAAATGAAAGTATTTGTCACACTGCTGTCGTCAGTCATGTTCACTTCGAGGCTGTCTTAAGAGATGTTTTATTTTCATAGATGCTATTGTTCTTGATTAATACACTCAAATCGTTGTCTTAATAATGCTGGAATGACTGTTACACTTGAACTTTGACGTTGCTGGTAAATGAAACATTCAATGTGTGTTTGATGTAGATTGATTCTATAAATCTTCAGTGTATTTTGGTTTGTCCTCTAATATCCCAGATTAAGGGCATTATTTCCCACTGTAGGCTCAGAGCATAACAATGATCTTTGTTTTTTTATACAATAAATGACACTGCAAGATGAAAAAATTGTCTCCGTGTAAATATTTGTACCTTATTCACATTTTATGTATCGTAATTAGATTCGGGAGTCACTGATGGTGTAGTGGTAGACTCGCCTGACCTGGGTGCAGGCAGCATGGGATCGACTCTGAACTGGCGACCAGTTCAGGGTGTAGTTGGCCTTCTGCCCGATGTCAGCCGGGGTAGCCTCCAGCAACCCATTCTGACTGATTATGGGCAGTTTTCTTCTGAAACAGTACAGCAGCCACTAACTTTATGGCCACAAGAGAAACGCCTGAGCTGAATGCAAAGCAGGCAACCTTTTTTTTTTTTTTTTTTTTTTTTTTTTTTATGCGACTGCTTCAGTCCCACTTCACAAACCCTTGACATACATACTGTAGTGAAATTGTAGTTTTATTTCATGGAAGCTTCTGGTACTGGATGAAAAGACACCTTTGCAGATGCAATAGGCGGGAATAGGGTTCTTCTGTGGCATGTGTCCACCTTTGGATACAAACCAGTGTGCCATGAGCGATCATTAAATTTTACTCCACTGGTGTAAAATGTCATTATTTACGACAAATAATTTATCTTTGTTCAACAGTCTAAGCCAATGATATATTAAGATAAGAAAATCTTTATTTGTCTTACAATGGAGAAATTCCCAATTTACAGCAGCAAAATTATGAAAGTGAGAAGTAGAAGAAAAAAAGCAAATAAATAAATATAAATTATGCACATGATTTTAAAAATGCTTTGAACAACCTTTAAAAAAGAAAACAAAAAGAATGTCATTTTTAACCTGGATTCATAAGCACTTACATGCTTTTTTGGTATGTTTTGAATCCATACATTCATTCATATAAGATAAGATCAGAAAACCTTTATTGTCTCACAAGGGAGAAATTTGCAACGTACAGCAGCAAAGTTCGGAGGGAAGAAGTAGAAAAAGTAGAAAACAAGTATTTGCATGCACAAAATATATATATTTTTAATGAAAAAAAATGTCTGATAAAAGATACCAGGGCCGTATCAAACACAAGCACAGAGACAATACCGATTTTTGAAGTGTGATTTGCGGCCTGGGGCATATTATGCACATGAAATGACACTAACTTCTCTCCCTCTACTGTACATGGCAGAAGGTACCTGTATCTACTTTTGTGACATTTTTGATTGGTGGTTGTGCCACTAGATTTTTTTTTCAACGGTTGACTATGGACATCTGTTGGGAAGCATCGATGTCAGATGTGAACACAAGCATGAATTAGCTTTTGGGCAAGTTCTCCTCTTCAAACTGAAGCTTCACAATTTCAAAATAAACATCGTATTTCATTTACTTTGATATCTGTTTCTGTTCATTGATTCGATCGAGATAATTGCTGTTCCCAACGCTTGTGTAGTTTCCATATCCTTCCAGCACCTGGAGCAAATGTTGATATTTTTGGTCTGATTCCAATACACAAATATAGCATTGATTATCAGAAGAACAATTATTTTTGAGTACGCGATGAAAGGCAATTACCGGTAGATCATTCACCGATTAGCTCTGAGGCTGAGCCTAGTTGCTTATTACATTGTGTAACAGAATGTGTAAGATTGAGGCACTGGCTGCTGAACTGAACTGGACTGCACTGAAGATTCACACTGTTTCTCCATAATAGGCTTCTGGGAATCGACTTGCAGCTGTGGCTTTTGAAAGCTTTGCAGTGTTCCTCTGTGTGTTCTGTTGCACTGTCATGCAAAAGTACAGCATTTCGAAAATCATACGCTCGCCAAAAAGTGATTTGTCAATAACAGGACATGATGAAAAGAAAGCTAAACAGGTACAGGTTTCCAACATTCAGTATTCTATGTTCTTCAGTCATACGTGAGTTGAGTGTTACAGGAGCTATTATGTTTGCAGCATGAGCCTCTAGACGCAAGGTGCTGCAGGTGATTGAGTCAATAAAAATGATTGACAGAACACAAAATTTCAAGTCAACCTTTCTCAATGTTGATCTCAAGCGGTATATTACATGAACAACAAATACAAAATGGCAGCTGCCCGTGTGCCAATCCACAGAGGAAAATTAATACAGTGATTATATTTTCAAAGAACAGATAAACTTCCATCCATCCATCTTCGAAGAAGTTTGCCCTCGAGGCACTTTTTTACCACCTCGGTGACTTCGACCAGAGAGATAGGAGAGTCCACCTCCGAGTCCCCAGACTCTGCTTCCTCTAAGGAAGGCGTGTTGGTGGAGTTGAGGAGGTCTTCAATGTATTTTGCCCACCGACTCCCAATGTCCCGAGTCGAGGTCAGCAGTGCCCCATCCACACTGTACACAGTGTTAATGGTGCACTGCTTCCACTTCCTGAGACATCGGATGGTGGACCAGAATTTCCTCGAAGTCTTCCAGAAGTCGGCTCACAGAACTCTTCCTACGCTCAAGTTTTTGCCTCAGCGACCTCTGAAGCTGCATTCCAGCGACCACTTGCCCAGCCTAGACCCATCAGCTGCCACTGGGGTTCCACAGGCCTTATAGGACTCTTCTTCAGCCTGACGGCATCCCTTTACTGCCGGTGTCCACCAGCGGGTTCGGGGGTTGCCGCCACGGCAGGTGGCCACCACGTTATGGCCACAACTCAGATCGGCCGCCTCAACAATAGAGGCGCGGAACATGGTCCACTGAGACTCAATGTCCCCTGCTTTATCCGTAATGTGGCAAGAGCTCCGTCAGAGGTGGGAGTTGAAACTCCTTCCGACCGGGAACAAACCCTCACATTACGTTTGGGTCTGTCAGGTCGAACCGGCATCTTCCCCCACCATCGGATTCAACTCACCACCAGGTGGTGATCAGTTGACAGTGCCGCCTCTCCTCTTTACCCGAGTGTCCAAAACATGCGGTCGCAAATCCGATGCTACAACCACAGTCAGTCATCGGACTGCGACCAAGGGTGTCCTTGTGCCAAGTCCACATATGGACAGCCTTATGTTTGAACAAGGTGTTCGTTATGAACAATCCGTGATGAGCGCAGAAGTCCAGTAACAAAACACTAATCGAGTTTTGGTCGGGATCCTCCCAATCACGCCCCTCCACGTCTCACTGTCATTACTCACATGAGCACTGAATTCCCCAGGTAAACCAAGTTCACACAAAAGATGATGCCCATTGATTAATATCTTGATTGTGAACATTTTCTGGAGTAGTTGTAACTGATGTTTATGTGGTTGAGCCAAAACTACACAGCTGTTTAGTTGTGGAAATTTCAGCATAAGAATAGCTCTTGAAATATATTTTCTGCTAACATTTGATGAGCCCTTTGATTAGTTTCTAAACTTAAATAGCCAGAGATGTGCATTCCTTGCATTGCTTTTGAAATGGCTATAAAATATTGCCTTGCCTTCAAGGACAAGTGCATTCTTGCACTGATTGAGGATGGTGTGCTGAGTGGGGCTCAGTGACTTGCGCAAACTCACTTGACGCTTCTCTGCCAAAGTCAAATCAGTCACAAGCTGATTCGGCTGAATCACGGTTTTGTTCTGATGAGAAAGTTCACTTCGCAGTAAATCTTGAAGAGTCGTTTGAAAGCACCCTATTTTTGTCATTGTCATGTTCTTTCATTTTCTTTCACAGCATCCCAAACTGCATCCCTTCCCATTTCGTTGAGGAATTGTTTGATTCTGCATGGTTCCCTTTTCTTCATAAACTTCCTAATTATCTGTCCCCTCCAGCTGAATGGCTACCAGATGTATTTCTCTTTATTCGCTTCTTGACTGGTTGTTTCTTGGGATCCCCTCATTGTTTGGGTTTTTCTGAAGTGGATCAACGGTGCCACTTTGGCTGTTTGTAAGACTGCAAAAAGCATTTGGTAACCTGAAAATATTAGGTCATGGGTCTGAAAGCATAGGTTTGTGAAAATTATACGTTAAACGTGCCCGACTGTGAAATCAGCTGTTGTTTTGTTGCCAAGCAAAAACAAGCAATGGTTAATCACAGCAATCCAAATAACATTTGTTCATTCATTTTTCAAAACGGGAACTAAAAAAAAAAAAAGACAATTTTTGTTCTAAAAACCAAAATGCGAAAATGGACAATGTTTTGTTTTTCGATGTTTGATTCTGTGCATGAATGGAAATGGGGGGGGGGTGGTCGAAAAAAAAAAAAAAGATAATGGCCGATTTGGACGATCATGTATTTTGTACTTCGGATATAGAAGGCTTCAGGCTTTTCAAAATTCAACAATGCACAACACAACGGTGTGTGTGTGTGTGTGTGTGTGTGTGTGTGTGTGTGTGTGTGTGTGTGTGTGTGTGTGTGTGTGTGTGTACAGATAGATATACACACACTGGTTTAATCATCATCCAGTAAACTTTTAGTTGGAAATTCAACATTTACAAAAGTGCTCTATGTGGGTGAAACCTGAAATAGTGCAATTAACTTTTCGGAATCAGTGCTGCAATTTTACTTTGTGACGTTCATTTGTTTGAGCATGTTCCCACAGCTACTCTTATCACTGAGGGGTAAATCCATTTTGAGATATGATGGAGATTCTGGGTTTAAAAGCTTGTTTTAAAATTGCAAAGATTTTTTTTTTTTTTAAATAAAAGTGGGAGTCAGGGATTCAATTCTGAACTCTATTGATGATTGCCTTTGCCTGAGAAAACCTTAACAGCTTTGTCAGAAAGCTTTTTTTTTTTTTTTTTACAACTGGATGGGTGAGGTAGGGGAAAATTTTACGAGGTTCTGGACAAATGAGCTGCAGCATTTCTGTTAATCTGTGCAGCCGTCTTGTTTGTTGTTTGCCAGGGCACTGCACGGATAAATTGGATTCGTTCTGCGGAAAACAGAGCAACCACACCAGCTCTTAGGCAAAAGTATTTTTTTCTACACCAACAATTATAAAAGAAGTTGGTTTGCGTGCATTCAAGTCTTAAACCACATCAGACTGGAATAACTCACCTTAGTCTCTTAGATCGGGGGTCGGCAACACGCGGCTCCAGAGCCGCATGCGGCTCTTTAGCGACATCTAGTGGCTCCTTGG